ATTTTTCCCCCTGGTGCTAGGTGTTGAACCTAGGGCTTCACACTTGCCAGGTAAACACTCTATACCAAGTCTCATCCCCAGCCCTGTCCTTATTTTCTATGATGCATTTCTAGAAAAGGAAATACTGGGTCAAATGTACACACTCAAGACTTTTGACATATCCTGCCAAAATGTATCCTGTCAGTTTATACTCTCCCAAATATTGCTTCTGTGAACTTTTGTCAGTACTATCAAGATAAAATTACTTCTTAAAATAACAGTTGAAGATTAAATTAGTAACACATTTTTGTCATTCTCAAGTTTGACTTACTATTATTTTTTTAGGTACTGGGGATTGAACCSAGGGGTACTTTACCATTGAGCTACATCCCCAAACCCTTTTATTTTCTATTTTGAGAGTCTCAYTAAGTTGCTTAGGCTGTCTTTGAACTTGTAATTCTGTCTTAGCTTCCCAAGACACTGTGATTATAGGCATGTACCACTGCATTGGCACTATTAAACTTTTTTTTCACTCAAAGCTGAAGATTCTTATATTTTAGACAAAGAAATTCAAGTTTGGTAAAATACAAAATATATCAGACTATTTAGAGAGAATTTCCACCCTAAATGTATTGCTAGTTTTTTGATTTGCTAGTGTGCTTCACCAATTAAGCTTTGTTTTTCCTTTCTTTCTGTAATAACCTTATAGGTTTCCCAGAAAAAGATAATACATCTTCATTATCAAGGGCTGGAAACTAGGGATATCCCATTAGTTTAGAACTGTTTTTTTCTAGCTAGTATTTTACAAATTGTCTAATTATCCCTATAGAAGTTTGTATGATAGAGAATAAATGGGAAGACAGCTACCCTTAGATACAATGGCCAACCAAGGCCTGTCAGAGATGTTGTGTGAGTAAAGACCTGAAGGAAAAGAATGAGTCAGCCACAGAGAAGACTTAAAAATTACATATCAGGCAGAAAGACAGTAAATAGCAAGCGCAAAGACTCTAAAAATGGAGTTATCAGTTTAGTACGAGGCCCCAATTAAGGGCTTTAATAAGATAAAAGGTTACTTTCTTTCCACATCAAAACTTGAAGGTAAGGAATTCAAGGCTAGAATAGTGTTTTTATCCATAAACTCAGAAGGACCCTGATTTCCACCAGTTTAAGGATTTGCCAATCCTTAGGGTAAGAGAACTTGCAAATGGTCTGAATTCAAATTAGAATTTCAGGCCATCTCATTCCAGGGTACAAAATACAGGAAAAGCAGCAAAGGATTGAAGGGTGTACCAGGTGCCATTTAAGTATAATTCTGCAAGGGTGTCACATGATATATCTGCTAATATTACATTGGCCATCACTATTACTACAAGGAAGGCTGGAAAATATAGTCTTTATTCCAGGCAGTCATATATTCATGTTTATCACTACAAAAAAAAAATGGAGGAATGTTTAGAGACAACTAACATATCTCTGTTACAGACTAGAAAAAGCCTGGCACATGACAGAAAGAGAGAAGCAATTAGATGGGTGAGAACTAGATAAAGTTGGAGAATAGGCAGTGGCTAGAGTATACCATCTTGAAGGTCATGGTAAGGGATTTGGGTTTTATTATGTGTGCATAAAGAAGCTATTTTAAGTTTTAAGTATGGAAGGAACCTAACATAAAAATTTGAAATGATGGTTCTGGCTGGTATTATGTTTGAAGGGGTAAATTTTCATGAGAAAGCAGGGAAAAATAGGAGTAAATGATGAGTATGCGGCTATGATCCAATAAAAATGATGATGTCTTAGTGGCAGCACTGAAGGTGATAAATGGCTGAATTCAGAATATAATTATAAGGCAAGTTGATGGTACTGGTTGATGAGTTGGATGTAGAATGTGAGAAATCACACAAATTCCTAATTTTAAGCACAAACAACCTGATGAATGGTTGTACTATTTATCGAAATCAGAAAGACTAAGAAAGGGGGCTGGGGATGTGGCTCAAGCGGTAGCGCGCTCGCCTGGCATGCGTGCGGCCCGGGTTCGATCCTCAGCACCACATACCAACAAAGATGTTGTGTCCGCCGAGAACTAAAAAATAAATATTAAAAAAAATTCTCTCTCTCTCTCTCTCCCCTCTGTCACTCTCTCTTTAAAAAAAAAAAAAAAAAAAAAAGAAAGACTAAGAAAGAAGATTTAGGGGATGAGCAAGGGGATTCAGATGTTCTGTATGAGACCCATCAAATTTGGGAAGCCTGATATTTTTATCCATTGCCATGGCAAAATTGCTATTTATAGCCACATCTTTTTAAAAATGGGAGGCCTGCTGTTTTTATATACAAAGTCATTCTTCCCTTAACAAGCTATTTTTTTCTCAATTCAAGTCAGTAATTTTTCTGTTAAATCTTTTCTGTAAAGATTTAACACACATGGGGGCTGGGGCTAGGGCTTAACAGTAGAGCATTTGCTAGCACGTGCGAGGTGCTGGGTTCGATCCTCAGCATCACATAAAAATAAATAAAAATGTTAAACAAACATACATACATATGCCCAATAGTACGGACTGTTTCTCAAGTAAGAAACTCTATCAACTACTCCACACCCCCCAAAAAAACCTCAAACTACCAAATGGGCAAATAAAGGTGAACTTTTTGATGCAATAATTTTAAAAATGCACCATTTATTTTTTACTAAAATATCAGTCATATAAGCCCTTAACAAAGCTAGCTCATTTAATGCTGAGAACATTCTCTGAGGCAGTTATTAAAACTGATTTGGCATATGGCATAGGAGTTAAAAAAATTTGTTCAACAAGGCTTTTAGTGGATTCATCCTAAACAAACAGTGCTCTCAAAAAAGCAATAGCGTCAGGGTATTTTTTTCCCTAACATTTCCATAAATTTATTATGAAAGTATCTGTTGTTCTATCTCTTCCAACAACAATCCACATAAATAAAACTTTCAAATCAGACTTGTCCCCTTTGGAAGTGATTTTTCTAATTTTACCAATGGTTATACTATATAAATCTGTGCTTTTAAGTAAATATAGAGATGGTAAGGATAAGGTCCATTTCTTGGACTTAATCAAGTGGGCCTATATATAAGTCAAATTAATAGATTAAAATGGTAAATAATGGGGCTTGGGTTGTGGCTCAGCAGCAGAGGACTCACCTAGCACAAGTGAGGTCCTGGGTTTGATCCTCAGCACCACATATAAATAAAAAAGGTATTGTGTCCACCTACAACTAAAAAAAATCATATACATATATATAAAAAACCAAAAAGGTAAATAATATTTAATGTTACTATATATATGTAAGGATCCCACTTTTAATCACTCCATTTCATGGCTTCAAATCACTAGTAATTACATTTTCAAATTACTAATAGCTAGACTAGGTGTTCAATAAAGCATATTCATATGTACGTGTATTCACATATATATTATGTGTATACAGAGGCAGTCTTTTAATACACAGCCTTAAGAAGAGRAGAAAGTAGAAGCAGCAGTAAGAAGAAAGGGTTGGGGGAGGATTTTTTCCTGAAGTAAAAACCACAATGAAGCAGAAAGTTTAATGAAAGGAATAATGAGAGAACATTTTCTACTGGTTACACCAACACCATTTGGAATTAAATTTATACATCTGCTGGTATATCAAAATACCTTGTATTCAAAACCATGATAAGGTCATCTTTGATTTCAGAATATGCTATTTTTCATGCTATTTCCTGATTTTGCCTTCAATGACAAATTTAAATTGGATTATAGTGATATTTTGGGGAGAAAATCATTTTATAAAAGAAACCAAGAAAGGCAGAAATTTTGTTTACTTCAAATTAACTGTGCTTTACATTAATAAACTCTATTAAATAGAGAACATTTTTTACATTATGAAACTACACAATTTCAAAACACATACAGAGCCTTTCTTTTTTTTTTTTAATATTTCATTTATTTATTTTTATGTGGTGCTGAGGATCGAACCCAGCGCCTTGCAAGTGCTAGGCGAGCGCTCTACCGCTGAGCCACAACCGCAACCCCTACAGAGGCTTTCTTTTAAACCCAAAATGCACAATAATTCTAAAAACTGAATTTATGGATACAAAAGAATAAAGGGAGACTACTGTATTGCAAAAAAAAAAAAAAAGGTTTAATTTCACTTTCAGAGATAACTACTTTTCTGGAAAGCAGATGTCACTCCTTAAAGTTTCCACTAAAGCCTTCATCATTTCAAAAGGTCTTGGTGATGACCCAGATGGTTACCCAGGGTTATAAGGAGAATGGGGAGTGGCAGCTAAATAAAGTGCCATAATCCTAATTCGGCTTGAGTAAATTCATACACCAGTGCTTTAAAAACCAGCTCTGCATTTTTACTTTATACCACCGGTTTAAAAAAAAAAAAAAAGACGGAGGAGTGATTAGACACCAATGGTTTCGGCAGAAGACAACTCACTTCTCAGGAACTGACGGTGACGTGCTGTCGGTATCTGGAGGTGAGCGCACGAGCACCGGAGGCTGAGGGGCCGGGGAAGGAAACAGGACCGCCATCAGATTTGCTCCAAGAGGTGCGAGGGCGCCGGTCTCGAAGCGGACGGGGGGGGGGGGGGGCGGGGAACAGGACACAAACACAAACACGCTCAGCGTCCCCCAGGTGGGCGGACCGACGCCACCTCGCCACCTCACCATTCCCCGCCCGTGGACCCCGCGGCTCCCCTCGGACCCAAGGCCGGAGCCCAGTGCGAAGCAACCTGGCTTTAGGAGCAAGGCAGCTGCCGCAAAGGCCCCGCTCACTGTAACGGCCGCGGAGCGACAAGCCTTTCAGTCAGTAGGTAGGAGACAACGTAGTCTCGATGTGGGCGGTGAGGGAGTGAAGCATTTCTCCTCTTCCTCTCACAAGCGCGCGAGAAGCAGCTTACCCACCCCCAACCCTGTCGCAGCTCCCACCTTCCGCCGCCGCCGCCTTGAGGGAAGTCGGAGCGACGGGGGTCACGGCGGGGGTCAGAGGGTAAAGGTCTTGCTCCCAGCAGCCTCCGCGGTGGATACGTCGCCATCTTGGATCCGCGGGACAAGAAAATTCATGCGGTGAGTTTTTGGCAAATTTTCGGAAGTCTGGCAGCGGGGCGCGCGGCGGGGGCGGCGGATTCGGGGCCCCCGCAAGGCGGGGGAATGCCTTGGGGCCGGCCCTGTCGCACTCGGGGTCCGCGGGTAGCGTCCCGGCCCGCCGCTTCCCGTTGCTTTTGTCTCGGCTCCAATCGAGAGAGGGAGAGCGGAGCGGGCGGGGAGGGGGGGTGGCGGCGGTGGAGGGAGGGAGGGGGTGTGTATGGGGGGTGGTGGACGGGACGTAAAGCGTCGCTGTACTCGGGCCGCTGCAGCGCCGGCTCCAGATCCTAGGCCCAGTCCCGTCCGCGGGCGGCCGAGCTTTTCCCGGACTCCGTTCCCCGGGGCTCCCGCCAGCGCGGAGGAGCGGCTGCCGCCGCGCTGCTTCCTGGGGTGAAAAGGGAAGGTGGCAGCGCCGGCAACCGAGGAGCCCCGGCCCGCTTTGGTCGGCTTTGCCACCTTCCCAGCAGCTGCTGGTCCCTGGTTCTTCACATTCTTTCAATTCACGCACATCATCCGCCACTTGTGTGTGTTTTTGTTTATGTATGTAAGTGTAAGATGGGGGACACTGGACTGGTTAACGGGCCTCAGGAGCTTCCAGGCCCTGGGATACCGAAGGCCGTGCATGGTGGAGGCAGGAGGAGTGCAACTGTGATGCTGCTTCTGCCACCGCACACCGAGGTTGAAGCTTCCGTGGTGTAGTAGAGACCGAGTCCTGATGGTCCTGGGGAGGCGGAGGAACCCGAGACGCTGTTTTTGTTTGTGAAGTTGCAAGCCCTAATGTTTTTACTTCCGCCGGGGCCTCTCCACTTTTTGCTTTTAGGTCTTAAACTTTAAAGTTTCATGGAAGAAATGAATCGGATTAAGAGAAGCCCTTCCTAATTATTAGTTGAGGTACTGTTGTATGTCTAGAAAAAGCTTCTAACTCTTGGTAACTATGGCCCTTAGCGAAAACGAATAAGTTTTCTTTTGTAAAAGCATTTTTAAAATTTGCATTTATTCTGGGCGCTGTGAGTACGCTATCATCCCCACAAAAGTCATACATACGGGTACCACTGACTTCGGAAGGCACCTTAACATCAACTTCCTGCTAGTCCTAGTCGGCAGCTTCACTTTTCAACATCCAAAGACCAAGTGCACCATATTTTCTTTCATTTTCGTAAAACTCTTGGTCAGAGGATCTTACTCCTTTATTTATTGTCTGGACAGTTCTTAATAATTAAGTACTCTGATAAAATTTTTGGCATAATAGTTGAAAGTACTGTACTGATCACATGGAAAGCCATACTTGAATTTAAATGTTAAAAGTGGAACACATTTCCTGTCATGCTTGATAGTAAGAATGTTTAGAGCTCAAGAATCATAGGTGCCATTGTCCATTTGCTTGAAATAACGTAAGTGGAGATTATTAATGAAGAATGGACTGGGGGGCATAGAAATTTAAAAGTATCTATTTACATACCCAGCTTTACATTGAGTTTGTGAATACTGGGTATATTTGACAGCAGTTCTTTGCCAAATGTCAATAAATTGATATCTTACAATTTGGGGAGGTAACTTTATCCCAGGTTTAAAGGGCTTATTAAGAATCTCAGTAGACTGAAATGATTAAATGTACATTCAAATCTTACATGTCCATCTAAATTCAGGTCTTGTTTCATTGAAATGTTTCTTAAATGAACTAGTAGACCGAGATCCTTAGTAAACCCTGTATATTACACTACTCTTTAGTTTGTAGTTGTTTTGTAATATTAAATCTAAAGGAAAAGAAATACAAAATAAACTGAAAAAAGAAAAAATTCTTCTAAAATTCCTTCTACTCTATCCACTTCTTTCTTGACTTTGCAAGACCTCACTTAATTTAAAATAGTACTTCCCCCCTTTTATCTAAAGATTTGGATTGTAGGGCTTCCTGCTAATACCTTGAGTGGAAAAATGAGGGCAAAGTGCATGTTTGAATGATTTAYACCATCTTCATTTGAGAAGTACCTGATCTTAAATATAAAATAAAGAATTCCAAATGATATACCTCCCTAAAAGAACTAATTCTTTTTTTTTCTTTATTATTTTGGATGTTTAATTTACTTTTTGATTTTTCAGAGACGCTTTATAGTTAAAACGTGAAAGTTCTCTTTATTCAAAAATTAGTAAGTACTTCAGATTTATGAGTAGATTTCATTTGGAATAGTTCCAACCCAGTACTTTTGGTTTTTGTCTCTTTAGTAGATACTGGTGTTAAAAATACTTAAATTTTGAAAAATACCACTAAAGAATTTTTAACATCCCACGAGAAGTTATAGTTTTACCTTTTTTAGAGACAAATTGGCTTTATAAAATTGTCTGATAATGTGGAAGAGTTTTAAAAAGTACTTCATATGTAAATATTTTGAGTAGACATTCATAAGCTAGTAAATGTAATTTTAGTTTACAATTTAATGTTTTGCCCTTTAAAAGAGATGTTCAGTGATAATAATATTTTTTTAACTAAAGTTTTTGTTATGATCACATATTTAAAAATAAATTCTGGATCTTATATGCTTCTTTAAATAAACATTTGAGGACAACTTAATGTGAATAGTGATACAGTCTGTGGAAAAGATACTTTTAAATATTTACAGTTTTATTTGTTAGCTGGACCCCTAGTGGACTTATTAAAACAAAGAAGCAGAAGAAGTTACCAGATAGAGCAATTTTGGGGGCAGAGTTAATCTGATTTCTACTGTAATGTTTGAATAGAATTACATATAATATTTATCAAGATATCTAGTGCTATGATAGGAGTCATTCTGATCCTTGAGACAGGTGGTTGTTCTTCCTTATCAAGGATGATTTCTACCTATAATATTTAAAGGAATTAAATTATGACATATACTAGATGTGTTGAAAAGAGCTTTGCTAAAATTGATGTTGTAGACAATTTGCCTTTGTAAAAAAAGTAGAAGAAAAATTAACTTTTACCTGAGCTTTTCAATTTAAGTAATATATAATTTTTCTTGGTTTTCTATTTGTCATGCTTTGATTTCTACTTTAACTCATCACAAATCATGCTGATAAGGCATATTCATTTATATACTATTAAGACTGACCTGGAAATGAAATTCTTACTATTTTCTGATAGCTTGTGTTCTGTACTTTAGATGCAGATCTCTTGGCATGTCACTTAGGGGATATGCTGCATTATGAAATAAGAAAATGTTTTACCTTATTTTTGGCTAAGAGCTCATAGCTTATAAAAGAGGAAATGCACAACAGTGAGTTATGTAGGAAAAATTTTCTTTCCTGGACACTCTTTAATATTTTGTCTGTTCTTAGACTCAGGATCTAAGTTCATTTATATATAGTTAGGTGTGTGTGTGTGTGTGTGTGCGCGCGCGCGCATTTGTGTTGGGGGTTAACTGTCACTTCTGTTGCTTCATAAACTTATTTAAAATTCTTCTCTGATATCACTTTCTTCATGACATCTTTCTTGACTCCCAGAATTCTCTTGCTATGTTGCATTTTATTCTTCAGACTTCCATTATCATATGTGTCACATTGTTTTGTAATTGGCTGTCTCTCCTTACCTTCCAGTGAAAGGTCCACTGGACTGTGAGCATCTGAGGGGTAGGGCTCTGTTTTGTTTGTATTTGTATTTCTGGTGCTTTCTATACTTCATAATACTTGGTAGGTTCTCCATAAACATGTCTTAACTGGAACTGTTTTGCCAGATTGTCTTTTGACACTTAATACTGACAGAGTGTTCATTTTCCAAGCCACAAACCAGAAGCAACAAGTTTGAAAAGATGGGGAGAAAGATGTCCTGTATTCCTTTACTGTCTTGAATCCTTTCTTATATTTGCTTAATTATCTATGATAAAATAAGTGACTAGCTTCTTACAGAAATGTATAGTCTGTATGGAACTAAGAAAATAATGTTAGGAATAGAGTGATTAAGGTCCTGTTTTGCTTTTGACTGTATTTCTTGCAGTATTTTATATGGCTACAATCATTAGTTGAAAAAGATACTTTGTATTTGTATTTATAAAGTAATGCATATTTACCCCTAAAGGGGGAGTTCCTCTTAAATTTGGCTTTCTGAAGTTAAGATTCTGTGCCCCTCCCCCCTTTCCTGCTAATACCTGGTCCAATACTTAGTGCAGAGTAGAAGTTCTCAGTTTGAAAACCATTGTTCTTATGAAATTGGTTGAGAAGGTTTCATGTATACTTATCAGAGATGCAAGATACAAAAAGTTCTGAAAACTGATCTTTTTTTGTTTGTTTTTTAAACATGGTAAGTTTCAATTGGAATTATTTCTCTTAACCTAATTAGTATTATATTATCCCTCTTACTATAGTTTTCTAGCAGCTTAATATAGATATGTTAGTGTGTTTGATTACAGTTGCTGCCTAGACCACTTGGGGGATGTGATGCTATATGTGATATACTTTTTAACTTTTCTTTCTAAAATCTTAAAGATTATAATATTGAGAAATTTCTGGCCATAAGGATTTGGATAAGAGATTGTGAGCCACCTTTTGCTTGTTTTAGAGTTGTAGATATCAGAACAGGATAAATGACTTATTTAGTTGAGATGCTAATGTTTGGCTTATAATTTTAGAAATCTTTTCTTATATATTACTTGCCTATATATTTTCCAGGGACTTTTTGAATGACAATGTTTTTTTAAAAAGAGAATTCGATCTGGTACTCAGGCTACTAATCCTTTCTCTGCTTTTTCTGAATGGAAACTAAATGTCTTATGGGAAACTAAATCTTCATTTAGTAAATAAAATAAGCAAGAGAAAAGTACTGTGGCCTGGCAATTTAGGTAGCAATAAATTGACTTGATTTTTGTCCAAACATATTGATACACCATTTTCCCACTTATATATTCAGAAGTAAAAACAACTCCATTGTGAGTCAGCATCTGGACAAAATGTAGTGATTGATTATGTAAGATGGTGTATTTGGTAGAGGAACATTTATTGAGTTTTATGACATATCT